CACACTTTTGAGGGCCAGTGCACAGCAAGATTCAGGAGTTTAGACACAGCAATAGGAGGTTCATCAAAGGATATATCATACTTTACATCGGGCGTATTTTGAGCTCTTCAGAGCTGGTGGAACCCCATATCAATCCTTTCAAAGGTCGCTTAGCTGTAGCCTTGAAATAGGAGCATTGAATCTTGTTGCTTAATTCCGTAAACCAATTAAAAGGTTTCGTTTAATTATTGTTTTTGGGTAGACCCAGTGGCGATTTTAGGGTAATGATATTGATGATTAAGACGACGTACAAAAGACAAGTTTAAATTTCGCGAGTGGGTGATGGGTGTAAATTACTACAGTTTGTGGTGTCCTAGCTGTGTGTTGTTCGTCATCAAGTCAACTAACATTCAGCTTTTTCAGAGGAGGGACATGTATTGACAGCTTATGGTTTTTACTGGTCGTACGCTTGGCCAGTATGCAGATCAAGAGCTCTTGAAATCCCTTTTCCAAAATAAAACTCCGGACTTAATTAAGCTTGAAATATATGATCACCAGGGTCAGCAGTGAGAATAAAGGAAAACAGGTCAAAAGGAAAAATAGTGTTAAAAAACAAATACTAAAGAGAAGAAAAAAATAATAATAGCGATACATAGAAACAGAAAATAGCGTCGCCGGGAGTCGAACCCGGCCGGTTCATCTGCACGTGCAAGCAACTCCTTGACCAATGCATCACAATGACACAAAAGTCAGTTTTGAAAATTAATTTTCAGCTGTTACCTCAAAACCACTTTTCTTTGCCATAGGCGCTGTTTGAAGCTGGTAGAGCCGTATTTATCATGAATTTAAATATACATTTGAGGAAAATTAGCTTAAGCGCGTATTTCAAAGCTATTTCGCTTTATTTCGGGTTCAACGAGCCTATCGATGCCGTAGATAATCGATCAAACTAGCTTACTGAATTTGGTGGAGAAATAGGAAATCAACAGAGGCCCACACTCGAAAGGATTGATATGAAGTTAGGTCGGCTTAATTAGCAAAAGAATAGATGAAATATAAACATGTGTGATCTGTGAATGGAACCTCCTGTTCTGGAGACTAGGCCTTACCTATTCTAGAGAAAAAAAGGATTTAAGACGGAATCCACCAGAACACTGAATAATTTTGATTTTCAGTGGACAAAAATCTTGTACCAGAATAATTTAAAGCATATTGCATATTTCTTTCTTACATTTTTCAAGTGCTAAAGATGTATTAAATCATCTGTACTAACACCAAAGAAAATTTTTCATGGAAGCCCGAGAAAATGAATGTCAAATTTCACAGAATTACATCTTGCACATGAAATTTTCAGAATTTTACCTGTGTAATCACAATTTTGTGAAATTTTCTCGAAATTCATTTTCTCGGTTCCGTGAGAAAATATTCTTTAAATTATTCTGTTACAGATGATTTATTACATCTTAAGCCCTTGAAAAATGTGACAAAGAATGCAATATTCTTTAAATTATTCTGGAGTAAAATTTTTGTCCACTGAAAATTTTTTTGGGGTTAACTCAATTTCCTGGTGGATTCCGTCTTTTTTAGTTTTGATGACCTTTACCGGTCCCACTCTTTTGGAGTTCATTTAACTCTGAAAGAAAAAATTTGGCGATCCCCTTTTTTGTAACACGGCCCGCGAAACAAATAAACAGAATTATACAATTACGGGCACAAAATATCAAAACGGTTTATACACGAGCAGATTATAGCAGCAACAAAGCTCACACACTTACGATAAAGTTAGCGATATATTGCCATATTTACTAGCTTCCTAGCTTTTCCTCGACCTCGCTCATCCTAATAACTGTGGTATCCCTTGCTAATTTTGCACAAGCGGCCGGAGGCTCTTGCGCTTTGGGCCACGCACATCAGGGAAAGTCAGGAAGCATACAACTCTTTGTAGTCGAGAAAAAGAATGCTTCTTGTTTGTTCTTCTTGGGCGATCAGTTGGGCCGGGAGGAAAGGCGCGACGAAGGTTTTCAAGCACAGCGGAAAAGCCCCTGGGTACCGACTCTCACCGGACCATTTCCAAACGGTCAAGTGATTGCTAGCTCCTGATTGGGCACCAAAAATGCTTTGTATTATTGTGCCCAATCAGCGAACAGCATCTCCTGAGTTCTTCTGTGAGTTCGTACACCACGGCTATTGACTCGATCACGGCTTGCCTGGCTCATGCACCAAAGAAATGCACGCAGTCAGGAAACTTTCTGTTTGATATAAACTCTCCATTTCAAAATACTGTCTACCCGAAAACTAAAGACGCTTTTCCAAAAATACAAGCTTGAGCTCACAACAGGTATTCACGCTTGCATCGATCACGCCTTCGTGAATATTAGGGAGGTTAACAAGCCACGACAGCCGACAGCCACGAAAACGTCGCATGAAAAGCGAATTCACATTTTTTCAGTCTCTATCGTGATTATTCCAGTTCGCTTGCTTTGTCAAAAGCGAGCGAACTCTTCTGGAACTGAATTTCTATCAACCATATCCAAGTTCACAAAGAGAAAGAAAATTTTGTCATTGCGTCTTTGCGTCCTTCACAAAATGCGAAATTAGGCATTTTCACGCGTGGTAGTCGTGTAGTGACGACAAAGAAATGTACAAAAAAGCGTGTCTGCACTTGCAAAATTGTTGTTTTGTCTTGTCAAGCTATTGCTTTTTTTACTTTCTCGTCACCGCTGCATCTTAAACTTCCTATTATTTACCATACATTGTAATCCGTCAGAAACAAAATTAATTTTCTAAGCGCAAATTGAACTGCTTTTGCCGATAGCATACGAAACGTTTTTCGACTCATCGGTACTAGTTTCTTCATTTCTGGTTAGCAAACCGGGCAACTGTGGCGAGAAAATAGCCGTCGTGTAGGAACTCACGAAAAGAACTCAGGAGAAACTGTTCTCCGACAGTCCGGGCCACAACCAGATCTGGATATGTAATTTCCTGCAATGTGATTGGTCAAGACCGCAACCAAAACATTGATTTGACTGCGAAAGGACTAAGTTCGACAGAAATGTCGCAGCAAAGAGCGCTATGGCTGGAATGTTCCTTGAAGAAAAGTAACAGCATGTAATGCCAAACCGATTAATCGAGATGATTTTAAACGTCTTAGCGTTCGATTTACAAATATCAAGATGATAATGATCGAGGAAGGTTTCTGTAAAAACGCCTGGACTTCTGATATCAAGAGACCCGAAGCAACTCGACGACACCGATCGAAAAGGAAGAGTAGGGAATTTAAATACTTGAAATACTGATACATTTTAGGTGGAAAGGTATAAAGAAGTCGTGTTTGGAGTACTTTTTGCGAGCACCGCTTCGACCAAGAGTAGTGTGTTCTATAATGCTTTTTCGGGAGCAATACTAATACGCGCTAAAATCTAATTGTGATCGAAGGAGTGCTGGATATTAGTTTTCAATATTTCAATCGTCAAACATCTTGAATTAATATGCGAAGGTAAAAAATAAATAAAATTTCTGTAAATTGCACTCACGAAGGGTCGTAAACAGTCATTAATCAATGTCTGTCTTTTCGTGTTCGGTCGTTTTACCTCCCAAGAACGCACAAACGTTCATCGGACGGCATTTTTTCTTCACACCCCTGATTTCTCATTGTCTAAAGTCACAGCTCTCAAAGTAGTACATTCTAGGCACAGCAAAGAGCCTGGAAGTGACCTTCCCTCGTGTTTCTCGGCGTGGCGCCATTTTGCAAATGTGGGTGACGTCATCATATATCCGCCAGATCTGGTTGTGACCCGGACTGGCCGATTGGGCGCAATAATACAAAGCTTTTTTTGTGCCCAATCGGGGTCAGCATTCGCTTGACCGTTTGGAAATGGTCCGGTGAGAGTCGGTACCCAGGGGCTTGTTCGCCTGTGCTTGAAAACTTTCGTCGCGCCTTTTCTCCGGGCCCTGACTGACTGCCCCTGGGTCTCCGAGGATGATTTTCCCTAAACTGAAGTATCGTAACCTTACCGAGGAAGAGAATGCTAGTCAGTGTTTAAAAATTTTAACGCACATCACAATTGATGACAAGAATGAACTGGCAGAAAGAGAGGTTTTCCCAAAAACAATTAACGAGCGAATCCTTCGACAATGACAACAAGTCTTACCTTAAAAAGCTTCTTTGCCTTTTGCAGTGTTTTTTTTTTAGAAGGACAAACGGAGGAACTGGATGGAAAGGACTTTTAGACAGACACAGTGTCCGGTTTCCAAAATACTCCAGCGTTACATTAAAAAGCTAAAACTTACAGTGCTCTTAGTTTTGACGGAATAAACTTTTTCAACATGGCGAATTTGTATTTACTTTCTCGGAAAGCCTTTGTTATGTGCTATTGTTTTTGTGGGCAAATAAAAACTTTCTTTTTTGACGCCTGTCAAATCGTGCATCCTAGGCCTCCACTTGTTTCCGGTCCCCCAAACAGGAGGAAGCCATATAATAAACATCTTATCAGCCTCGTTTTTTCGGTCCGTACTGTAAATTACGGATGCTCGTTTTTTTCCATCGATTTATGGCCCAAGCGCGAAGCGCTTGGGTCATAAATCGATGGAAACAAAGTCGGTCCGTAATTTACAGTACGGACCGAAAACTCGGCTAATAAGAGGTATTTATACTTCTGCCACTTCGGGCCGTAGTACGGAGCTGAAACTCGGCGGGGAAAACACCATTTCCACAGAGATAGGTTGTGAAATTGTGCGACTCACGACAAAGTCTTGAGACTTGGAGCGCCTCATAGACGCACTGAAAATTCCTCTTTTATCTCGATTTTCGCTCGTTCTGCCTCGCTTTGCGGTCCACGCACGTTCCTCGCGCAATGCGAATTTCGACAAAATTATTAACTCGCCACGCGAGGAATTAAGCAAAGAGACGTGCACTGATTATGTCAAACCGAGGTTTACTTTAATTTGATTTCTTCTTGCTTAGTTAAAAGAGTTTTACGCTGATATTCTTGCTTTTAGAACCGTTACCGCATCAAAGTTCGCAACCGACAGAGGAACGCAAAGCTTTAAGCGAAGTCAAAAATATACCCTCCAAGGAATCAAATGAACCAGTCAAGATCAAGAAAACAGTGTCATCGAAGCTCAAACCAAATGGCACAGAGAATCAACCTGTGCCGAGTAAACTTCCTAAAACCCTGCACAAACCGCATTCTAGCAGCTCGTTATCGTCTTCTGATGAGGACGCGGTTCAATCAAGGCACCATGGTTTCGTGCGACCCGGCAATACTCCTGGTCGATCTGTGGCTGCACACAGTGTACCCAGGACACCTGGCTTCAGCTTTGGCTCAGGTAAAAAGGTTTTCGTAAAGAAGACAATTTCCAAGTTCAACCCGGATAACAAGCGGAAAAGGAAGTTGTTGAGACCAGTAAACACTGCTTCGAGTTTGGGTGTGAAACTTTAGTAAACAAAGGAAGTCGAAGCAATTGCTTTAGTAAGAAAGAAGAGGTTGGTAAATCACAACTCTCAAGAAGAGTGCAAGTGGTTTCTTTCCTTCATCGAAATTTAGTGAAGTCACAGATTGGGAATAGAAGTGCTGAGTTTCTGTGACTCAAAGTTATAGCTTTGAGGAATTATTAGATTAGATTTGGGGTTTACGCTTAATAGCGATTTTAGCCTTAACTTTTTAAAACAATTCAAAAAAAAGCAAAGCGAGCTACCGTTTTGCAATTTTGTTGAAAGATTTTATTTTAATTTTTTTCTTTGTTCTATTATTTATTATTACTTTTTATTCACGAATATTTGGTTATTGTATATAGCATTACCCTTTACGGTTTTATCAGTACTTAAGTGTGAATATCTGAAAGGTTATTTCTAATTAAGGTACTGTTTTTTTTGTCAGGGTTTTTAACAGGGCTTATAAACGGGAGGAGAGGCTTATAACCGGACTAAAATGAGTGTTTAAAAACAAGCTACATGGCAGTGCAAATCAAAAATTAAATTCATTTTCAATCCAAGCCAGAGGAGGCTTATATCAGCCGGATGTATGTAATTTTTTTGGTTTACAGGTAGATGGACCTATAACTGGGGGGAGAGGCTTATTAACAGAAGTTTACGGTATTTTATGTCATAGTTCATTGATTTTCCTTTGGAGAGAAAACGTTTTTCAGTAATTACAAACTACAGTGTATAGCAGGGCTTGACAGTGTCATTATATGCGTGTCCAGTTAAAACCGACGTTTAAAAATAAACGAGAAAAACACAACTTAAATCACTTGTCGTTGCGTTTATGTGCACATAATGGAGCTTTGCGTGGTACAGACTTGTAAGGCTTGGAGTAAACGCCGCCGCGACGCTAATTAAACAGGAATCAACTCCTCTGCTCCCTGTGGCCGAAGAAGACATTTATGACTTTTCTTGGTTATAATTATCATTATTATTTTTAAGAAGGACCAAACACTCAATCCAACAACAACAAAAATCCTTGAAAGGAATGAAACCTTCAAATAAGGATATTACTGGGGGAGTATAAGTGGCGGTGCTGAAAACAAACAAACAATTTCGATAGGCGGTATGAAAGAAGTTGGGGAATTGGGGTCAACTAGACATCTTCCAGTCATAGATAGTCCTCAAGTTTCTTTACTGCTTTTAAAATAAGGTAATAAACTCACTCAATGTCAAAGTCTGAAATGTTCTCTGGTGAATATGCCAAGCGGATCATACTCCTCTTTAAGTTCCTTTAATCTCTGGATATTTGCCTTGCCAAAATAATTTTCCAGGCGTTGCGCCCTAGTGTTTTCTCCACAGTCAGCATAATTCTGATATGATCGAGGTGAGTGAGGCAGTAATGACCGGGCCGTCTCTTCTGCCCACTGCCTGCACGCATGCGCATTACCTTTAGCCTCGTCTTCAGGCGTCCACACGGCCTGCGCACTGAACAAATATAGTGCATCTCTGTGCACGTAGGAGCAAGAATCAGGTGACTTACGGTTGGTTTCTCCGCCCAAGAGCTCGAGGCCGATAGTGTGTGGGTTAGAAGAAACTGGAGCTTCTTCCAATTGGCTAATGATGATATGAATGACCTGCATGGTAAGAGAAAGAAGACAACGTATCATCATTTAGTCACCCAAATGTAAAATAATAAAAGAGATAAAAATTTCAAAAGCTTCACACAATATAATGGAATGATAAGTCAAACTGGACAATTACGTCAATGGATTGGGGGAGGGTATAGGTGATTTGGTCCGGGAAAGAATTTTTCCCCAAAACCTCTGGATAGAATTTTTTCCCAGCATTATAGGCCATGAAAGGTATTTTTTCAGCGTAAGAATTTTTTTCGCCAGGTATTTCCTGGCAAGAATTTGTTTCTTTCAAAATGAGTCTGCAGGATATTTTTGTTTCTAAAATTACCCATACCCCCTCAAAAGTCAAACGGTCAGCCCCAGCGGGGGAAAGGTGTCTCAAGGAAATCTGTGGTACAGTCCGCCCGCCAGTATGACGTCACGTCTCGCGTCAGTGACTTTCAAAATGGCGAGCAAACTTCATCGAAGATACGGATAAAAATTTCGATTTAATCACGGAAATACTGATCCGATTTCTTGGATTTGGAGATTTTAAGGTTCCTATTGTCATAGAAAACTAGACTTAAGTACTTTTTTGGAGTGAAATGTCCAGTGGTGTAATGAATTTTAAAGATTCCTTTCTATAGTCGAGCAAATTTTAAGGGCAATCATACCCACCGGTCACACTTTTGAGGGCCAGTGCACAGCAAGATTCAGGAGTTTAGACACAGCAATAGGAGGTTCATCAAAGGATATATCATACTTTACATCGGGCGTATTTTGAGCTCTTCAGAGCTGGTGGAACCCCATATCAATCCTTTCAAAGGTCGCTTAGCTGTAGCCTTGAAATAGGAGCATTGAATCTTGTTGCTTAATCCCGTAAACCAATTAAAAGGTTTCGTTTAATTATTGTTTTTGGGTAAACCCAGTGGCGATTTTAGGGTAATGATATTGATGATTAAGACGACGTACAGGAGGTTCATAAAAAGGATGTATTACACTTTACATTGTGCTTATTTTCAGCTCTTCAGAGCTAGTGGAACCCCATATCGTTCCTCTCAAAGTTCGCTTAGCTGTAGCGTTGAAAGGGAAGCTAAATGACAGGTATTTGTGAGAGACTGTGAGCATTGAATCTTGTTGCTTTACCGGCGCATTTTAATACTGTATTGGGCATACACCTGTTATTCTGTAATTAAATCCCGAAAGCCAATAAAAGGTTTCGTTCAATTATTTTTGGGGCAAACCCAGTGGAGATTTTAGGGTAATACAGGTAATAATATTGATGATTAAGACGATGTACAAAAGGCAAGTTTAACTTTCGCCAGTGGGTCACTGGTGGATGTTGTGTGTAAATTAGTACAGTTTGTGGTGTACTGTGTGTTATTTGTCATGAAGTCAACTAACATTGAGCTGTTTCAGAGGAGGGACATGTCTTGACAGCTTATGGTTTTATCTGGTCGTAAGCTTGGCCAGTATGCACATCAAGAGCTTTTGAAATCCCTTTGCCAAAATAAAACTCCGGACTTAAGCTTAAAATATATATTGATCCAAGTGCATGACCTGCAGGGTCAGCAGTGAGAATAAAGAAAAAAAGCCAAAATGAAAAATAGTGTTTAAAAAAAAAGAGACCAAACAGGAAAAAAAACGGTACAAATAAACAGAAAACAGCGTCGCAGGGGAGTCGAACCCTGTTTATCTGCACGTGCAAGAAACTTAGGGGCACTCAACGACAATTTTCGGAAAATATCTGTTCGGAAGACGATTTGAGATCTAGAATTTTCGGAACATTTGTTGTAAAATTTTTTTTGCTTGCCTGCCTCTCCTAGGATTTTCGAACATCTAAAAAATGGTATAATTGCCAATTTTTAACCGATTTTTATCCTTAAAAGGTCACCTAGAATTTTCGGGAGCCTTTTTTCTGGCTGAAAGTTTCGAAAAAATAAGTTTTGATCCCTATAATTTTCGGATCACTAGACTTTCAGCTAGGAAATCCGAACAGATGAAAAATTTTTTTAGGGATGAAAATATGTCTATATCTTTTTTTTTTTTTTTTTTTTTTAATAACATTTATTTGGTTAAAACACTTCTAATGACAATACTTACATTTACATGGAGAAAAAATAAAAACAACGTACAAGAGATAAAGGAAAAATATCTATAATGTCTATATCTACCGTTTAAATACTAAAATACGTTTAACAATGCTATGTTTAAGAGGTTTTGAACTATATTCTCGTTGGGTGCCCTGAAAACTCCTTGACCACTGCACCACAGTGACACTCATGATTTGAAAAATCAATTTTGTCATATCAAAATAATTTTTCTCTGCCATAGACGCTGTTTGAAGTTGGTGGAGCTGTATTTATCATGAATTCAAATATACATTTGAGGAAAATTAGCTTAAGCGCGTATTTCAAAGCTATTTCGCATTATTTCGGGTTCAACGGACCGACTAGATGTAGACAATCGATCGAACTAGCTTTACTGAATTCGGTGGAGAATTAGGAGATCAACAGAGGCCCTCACTCGAAAGGAATGATATGAAGTTAGGCCCATTTATTTAGCAAAAGAATAGATGAAATATAAACATGTGTGATCTGTGAATGGAACCTCCTATTCTGGAGACTAGACCTTGCCTATTTTAGAGGAAAAAAAGATTTTAGTTTTGATGACCTTGCCGTTCCCATGAAATAGATGGCGATCCCGCAACACGGCCCGCAAAACAAATTAACAAAATTATATAATCATGGACACAAAATATCAAAACGGTTTACACAAGCAGATTACAGCAACACCAAAGCTCACACTCATTCGATCAAATTAGCGATATATAGCGATATTTGCTAGCTTCTTAGCTTTTCCTCGACCTCTCTCGTCCAAATAACTGTCGTATCCCTTGCTATTTTGCACAAGCGACCCGAGGCTCTTACCCGTTACTATGTGACGTCATACTGGCAGGCGGAGTGGGTCGAGAAACTTAAGTGGAAAACAATAGAGTTACCTTCCCCCCTTGGGTCAGCCCCTTAGCCCATGTCCGTGAATTGACCCTTATTTAGTTAAAAAGCTTTACTGCAGAAGTCGCTGCAGGAATTTAACTCAAAATCTTTGCAGCACTTGGGGTATTTCTGGGTTTCTGATAGAGATTTTCTAACAAGGATTTTCTCAACCAAAAACCCTGAAGTGATTTGTGTGACCGGAACAACCAGCCTTACACCTCAGTTGTTGTCCTTTAATCCGCCCAAATAGACGCAATCCATACCTCTGGAGTCAACTCTCCCAGAAAAGCAGATTTCCACATCTTGTAGGTTTTCACTGGTTCCTCCCCAAATCTTTGCTGATACTCGACATAAGAGGTGGTCTGTTCTTCCCAAGGACCATTAACAGCGGTAGAACTCTCTCCCGGGGGACCAAACCTCTCTGTTATACTACGAAGGAACGGAAGGAGTTTTCCCTCGGCTTCACTTGGATGTCCGTCATAGAAGTAATCCACTGCAACCCCAGGGACTTGTGTTATAAGGTAAATGTTGAAAGTTATTTCATCTTCAGCTGATCTACAAAACTCGCTCATAACGTGCAGAAGTTCCTTAAGCTTTGTTGAGCTCATCGGAACGTACCAAAAGCGACCTGTTAGAATACAACGCAGGACAAAAAATGTCATCCATTATATATGGCTCCACTAATTGTCTCTTTTTACACATGTGTACATTAAATGGATGCCGGAGACATACTGCCAGCATCTCTCACTTTCAGAGGAAAGCACAACAACGGATAATCTTTACATGGGACCGGTATGAAACACTTCGTTGATTACATGAGACCGGTACAAACTCCCCCCTTGGAGCTATATAACTTTCTTAAGTCGGTTATTTAACATATTATTCGCCAACTGTCCTAACTGGTACACAATTTACGCCAATTAAGACAGTCAATAGAGAACCGCATATTTTACCGCTCTCAGAAAACTGTAAACTGAATCTAACGCTCATTTGGTGGCATGTTAAATGCACAGCATCTCAAAACGATGCAATCCGTCACATTAACCGAATCATATATTCAATTGAAGTCTTGTTTACAGCTATTCATCGCAGTGTTCTTATTTTGCTGAGAAAAAAGCAAAAATGATGGCGCCATACGAAGAAACATGCTATTTATGGACCCGGCCTGAGATTCGTTTCCGTTTTACATGAGAACGGTACAGTCTCAGAAAGGTACGAAAGTAACTCGAGTCGGGTCAGCGACGAAACGAAGTCAGGCCGGTCTGAGTTCATTTCTAGGCCGGTCCCATGTAAACGCATGAAAAGAAATGTATGGAGACCGATTCGAACTCATACCGGTCTGAGTTCGTCCCGGTCTCTTGTAATTACCCCCTTAGATGCTATGTTACAGGAACCTGAACTAAGCTACCGCCGAGTGGGCCTCCTCTTCGTATGCACTTTACCTAAATAACACTTTAACAGTCAACATGTAAACTATTGCACCTATATCACATTTCCTTCATATAGCAATCAATTCAATTAAACTGTTACGGTATGAGCGTAAACGTGATCGACCTTGTGTTCGGAAGCTTTCGCACCAAACATGTCAATAAATCCTGGTTTTATATGATCGCTAGGATGCCTGAAAATAGGTTCAGCCATCACAGCGATACGGTTCCGGAGATGGGCTTTATTTTCAAAGGTATTTTTAAAGCCTGGCCTTTTCCAGATTCCCCCTAAAGTTTCGGTTATATAATCCAGGGATCTAACCGATTGTAGCGAACATAATAGAAATCAGGCTTGAATCGTCCAACAGAGTTCAATATTCATAACAATAAGGCAAGAGTCCAACGTCAAGTTACAAGTTTCAAATGATTTTTTTAATCGATCCCAAAAATGCTTCTAAGTAAAAAGGTCCCTTACCTCCGACGTATTGTTCTTGCAAGGTATGTAATTTGACTTGTAGCTTCGTTACCACGCCATATCCCACTTGCCCAGCTCCTCTCAATACCCAGAAGAGATGTCTGTGCTCTTGCGAAGATGCAACTATCCGCTGACCAGTAGCAGTGACAATTTCCATTTGAAGACAGTTGTCGACTGCCAGCCCCTTCGTCCTGCTGAGAAACCCAAACCCTCCACCTAAAGTGAAACCTACTACACCGACAGTCGTGCAGGAGCCATTCACTGCAGCCAGGCCTTGTGGGCATGTGACGTCATCAAGATCCTTCACGTTCACTCCTGCCTCGACCCAGGCTGTTGCTGTCTGAGGATCAATGTCGATGTGATTCATTGCAGACATGTCGAGAACGAGGGCATCGTGAATGATAGCCAAGCCTTCAGATGGGTAAACAAATTGTCACTTCAATTTTGATTGGAAATATTTTAACTTGACACGCAGGTATTTTCTCTTGTTTCAGTCTGCGCGCAAAAACTGTTGGGAGTCTGGGTCGTGAGCTGGTGAGAGAAATAAGTACCATCTATTGTCAGGAGCCCTTCCCCCCGCCCCGCCCCCCTCTCAATCAATCAATCAATCAATCTTTATTCTCCTAAGATAAAAAGACATATCTTAAGTTACATCAGCAGTTGGGAATCTAAACATACATAAGACACAGTGCATACAAATAAAAAGATAAAAATACATAAGGCATACTGTATATAAATAATAGAAAGATCCAAGATTATATCTAAAAATAATCCTATTTACAAAAACATTCTTAAATCTATCGGTCTTTATATCCGGGCGATGAGCACTTTTGTTTCTGAGTAGATACTTTGTTTCTTTCGGCTTCTTCGGAATGACGTTACTGAGCGTGCAATCGGGATCCACTGAACGTACCTTGAAAAGCTTCTTATCTGCCTTTTCTAAAAGTTCTCGAATGTCCATTCTCTTAGATGTGTATTTTCTTTTAAAGCATCTATCCAGAAAGTTTTGTATGACCGTGAGATCTGAGTTTACAGCGCCATAAACAGGTAGACTATAAGTGAAATTCTTTAAAACTAAGGTGCCAAATAGGTGGTCCACTTCACCTTGACTGAAACCTTCCTTCCTTACAAACAGACACTTATTTGCCTTAGTCAACTTAGCACGTACGTGTTCGCTATATTTACAATTCTCCTGAAACATAACGCCTAAAATGGGCAGCTCCGTGCATTGCGGAATGTTGTTAATATATCCTTTCTTGCGAAAAATAATTTCTTTACCTTTCGACGGATTACAAATCATACTGTTTTCATTAGACCAAGTTAAAAACTGATCCACCAAATCCGTACGACGGTGCCCATTACTCCAAACGGGAACACTGATGAGAGTAGAGTCATCCGCATATTTAATCAGAGCTGGGTGGTTATCTATGCTGATTTCCAGATCATTAATAAAAATGCTAAATAAGTACGGACCACTCACACTGCCTTGTGTAGTGCCCCTGTTCACACATTCCCATTGTCCTTGAAAACTATTGTTTATTATCCACTGTTGACGATTCTCAAGAAAGCTTAAATACCAATTGATTATAAACCCAGTCAGGATTAAAAACCCAATCAGGTTTTTAATTGGAAACGAGTATTCAATCAATAGGGACCGAGACGAAAATGGTCTCACTTGAGAGATGTCCGGATTACGAAAAAAAAAGTCAATAAAGACAGCAGTGAATATTCATACTAAGTGATCAAAGATCTACATGGTGTTATATGAAAGAAAGACATTGTATTTGTGGCTTTTACTTTTCTGTTTTACAGTATGGTGGCCATCTCCATGAACGCTCTGTCTGAGTTAAAATCTTGATCCAGGGTAACCCTGCGTCGACCTGAACTTCAGTTGCATCGGTGCAGTAATACTCATTATATTGACAATCAAAATGGATTAAAATTATTGCCTTCTAAAATTGTTTGAATCAATGTTATTGCTGCGGAGCGACCGTAGGGAGCGAGCAGCAACATAATCAGGATTTAAGGGAAATATATAAGGGGCGACGAATTCTCAAATTCATCATTTTTACCACAATGCATTGCATTTAATCACACTTTTTACCACAATGCATTGCATTTAACCAGAGTGCATTGCGCCACGAACAAGTCAAGTAAAAACACGGGGAAGTTCGCATCGTTCGCTGCCCAGACTCAGAGTTTTCTTTGTAGCAAATTTTCTACAGCGCGGTTAGAGGTCTTACCAAATTTAAGACACGCAGAAGTCTTTCAGATGAGTACGATGGTTAACTTGGGGATTGGATTTCAATTCAAGAGCCTTTGACTCGTCCAGGTGTTAAACCTGACGAGAAGATGAGTATTTGCTCTTCGACTCCGCAACACGGGGGATATACAAATTCCAGCTTGCTAGAAGGTGATGTGAAAGTGAGAAAATGTCATGCCATGCTATTCTTAAGAACCTGTATGAGCCGAAAATGGATGTGATTTTGACCATTCGCTTCAAAATAACAGCGGAAATCGAGATAACAAAACATATGTTTTGTGTCCTACGTTGCAGACGAGGACGTGTATCGGCGTTTTGAAAAGCATAATTATGTTCTTTCATTCATTCATTGCCATGGAATATGCGTTTACATTGTTTTTTTGCTGTTAATAGCTCGATTAATGCGGCTGGCGATCATCTTGCCGGCGGAAGTTTCACGGAAAAGGAATTAACTTAAAGACTTTTCCTAAGGTAACGCCATCAGTCTCTGTGGTGTAGTGGTGAGGTGTAGTCGCGTCGAGCCGATGGTGCCGGGTTCGAGTCCCACCGAACTCTTTTTTTCCTTCTTTCTTTTTTTTTCTGTTTTTTTGTGTTTTTGTTTTCTATAAATATATAGCTAAATAACTGTTACTTAATAAAGTGCAATAAACAGCAAGAAAAGTATCATGTTTCCAGAGAAAAGATAGTACACCGTATATTAAATATATGGATAACCAATCTGAATTTCTATCATTTCCTACAATTTACTGTGGGAAAACAAGAGTTGATAACCACTTGATCATTTTTTAAACAACGTTCCCACGAGTTCTTTATATAGACTGATAGTAATTATTCTAGTACTTTCCAACATGTAAATAGGACATTCAATGTCATTTTCGATTCTTTTAAGTCCCACTGCCTAACTAATGCCAGTATCAACAGAATGTGCCGCAGCATTACTATCTTTTAGATACCCTAGTTGTAGGTTGTAAGATAACACTAGACTAAGGTTCCTAGAAACCAAGTTTCAAAATCTGACTTTCTAGAGTACCTTTAGGGTCATGCCCCCCACCAAGCACTGATACTTGAAGCTGATTGGCTGAGGCGTATCGCAGCACACGACATACGTCATCCGTAGTCTTGGGCGTGAAGAAAGCTCTTGGTTTGTTGGAGTCGTTTTCACAGAACAACCTTCCCATGGATTTTTTATACTCGTCCTGTCCCTCTAGAGCCACTAACAGGTTTGGTGATTCTTTGCACAAAGCCTTGATCTCATGATCAGCGTTTTTCTTGGGGAAGTTCATATTTCACAGGCCGCTTCCTACAAAAAAAAAAACACAAGCAGGCTGATCTCTCGAAATATTGGCATACTATGGGAGTCTTCTCATCTAGGGACACAACTGACAACAATGTTATCTTGTTGTAGTTTGACTCAAGGAAGGACTGCCTGTTTCTCAGAACAGTTTCACGAATATACAGATGTTTTACAGATGTCTTTTCCTTGCAGACACTCCTCAATAAGTATATGATTGTCATTCATCCATGCGTATTCCTGCATTTGCTCTGTTCAGCTAAAAAAAATTTGGCTATTTTGTCACGGTCTTCGCATAGCCGTGAACTCTTTCTCCATTTTCTTGAGTGAACTTATGTCAAAAACAGCTAGGCTGCCGCGCCGCTGCCTGGAAACGATTGTATACTGAGGAAATACAATTATGCGCTACTGACCAAGCGTTGGGTCAAGATGACTGGGTATTGGCCAATACCTTTTTTGCGTTTGAACAGAGACGAAGTGGATATTAATAACGAAAATCGCAATAAGAACGAGGCAAATATCCTTGATAGCCATCTTGGCCGAAAAAGTTGGGTCAATAAAGAATTTACCATATGGCCTAAAAGAGAACTTTTTCTTACGGGACCAATGCGAGAAATTTCGACCGGGGAAGATGGCCCCATCTTGTCCCCTCGGGTAGCAAATCAGTACACGGGACTCGCAACTTGCAAATTGTTGGCTTTCATATCAAACGAAAGAAATCACCGATTCTTCCAAGTTCTACTTTCATGAAGTATTGGGGCAGCTAAAAAAATATAAATATTAATACAAATTTTCACTTCCAAAAGGTTCTTCGTTTTGTTATAGAATACGCTTGAATTGCTAGGCGTTTGCTTGACGCAGCATTTACATTGATAACATGGCGGTCGAGAAATCTATGATGTAGGTCAAAAAAACCGACTTATTTTGAGGGATTTTCTATCTGAACAGTCATTGTATTAGAAAAAGTACCGAGAGATGACCTTAACGCTTTCAAAGCAAAACTCAGTGACAGATGTCTCTTTTGGTTTATGACCCGCCATGTTGGTGTCCATAGGAATGGGCATCACGAAGTGTCTAAACACAAAGCTCTATAAATTTGGGTAAATAATTTCTTCGATATCTCGCATATGAAAAGTTGCACTGGCCTGCTTTCATTCCTTAGATTCGGAACTTAATCTTTTGAACGATTTTGATTTTATTCAGTTTTGATGGCGTGGGCAGTGAAACTGAATCAGCAATATGATCAGTGTTTGTACCCACTCTAATCCGCCTGTATTAGCTTGTATTGGCTGGTTTTCAGTGTCACGCCATTCAAAATAGATCAAAATAAAAATCAAAACCGTTTAATAGATTAAGTCCAGAACCTAGGAAATGAAAGAAGGTGAAATGGCGAATATGCAATGACTCTCGCCAAGATTCAGGTCAGTGGAATGTTTCGTATACGAGATATCCAAAGATATGTTTTACCCAAATTTATAGAGATTTAGCTAGATTTTTATGAAGTTGCCTTGCTAGGGCCCATCCTGATGGGCACCAACATTGCGGACGAAAACCAACAGAAACATCTGTTACCGAGAAAACAGCCGACGCGACGCCACAAAACTGTTTTCCCGAAATGACGTCTGAGAAACAAGCGAAGAAATTTCATACAAATGACGTGTGACTACCCAGATCTGGGTAGGGCTCCTGATTGACTAAAGCAAATTTCCCACGCTGCACGACCAATCAGAAGCCCTACCCCATCTGGGTGGTGACGCGTCATCAGTATGGAATTTCTCCGCTCGTTTCTCAGACGTCATTTCGCGGGGAAACCAGTGGTGGCGTCGCGAAACATAGGCTGTTTTCTCAAGCTATTCCTCGAGGAACTCATGAACATTAAAGTAACACTTTTTTCTAAAATATGACCTGTTTAGTTAGCAAAATTCACCGAAATAAGTCACATAATTTTAAATCTACATGTCAGCTTTCTCGGCCGTCATGTAAATGCCGAGTCACGTAAAAGCTTTAGATGATGCGTGGGCTGGCTGCTGCGTAGGCTACAGCGCTACCTGGTTATAAAGATTTACCCTAGGTTTTAAAGACAATTAGAAACGAGAAATATTTTGAATGAATTGGGTACTAAAGTGTGACGTCATAAAAATGAAATTTCTGAAATTATGGGATTTGTCAGGATATTCTGCAAGAACAATGTCCAAGAGGCCTACTTGCCAAAAATGAGCATTTCGGGGCAAATTGTCTCTGAGATCGTATGCTTAAAAAACTCCATACAAACCCTTCTAAATTTTTTGTAGGTCGACCCAAAAAAAATTAGAAGGGTTTGTATGGAGTTTTCTAAGTTTAACCGGCTAACATCTCAGAGACAATTTGCCCCGAAATGCTCATTTTTGGACATTGTTCTTTCAGAATATCAGAATATTTCAGAATATCCTGACAAATGCCATAATTTCAGAAATTTCATTTTTATGACGTCATCACTTTAGTACTCTATAATAAATGCTTTTATTATTCATTTAAAATATTTCTCCGTTTCTAATTGGCTAAAATCTCACGTATGATACACTTTTTTACCTTGTATGTTTTGTTTTCCCAATTGAGACCACGTGATGTTCTCCAGGGAGTTTGCCTTTTGTCTTTTCATTAATTATGCATACATAGGCACGTGGATGCACGGACATAAGACGAAATTTGAAAAAAACAGTTCTCTAGAATACCATCACGTGGTATGAAATGGGAAAACAAAACTTACAAGCTAAAAACGTCTATTCATCATAACCAGCTACTGTTCACCAGATTTGGAAGAATTTTGCGATGTGTGAACTGAAGACGTCAATAGACCTTTTTAGCTTGTATGTTTTGTTTTCCCATTACAGACCAAGTGATGGTACCCCGGAGAACTGTTTCTTTCAAATGTCGTCTTATTGTATGCAAAATTAATGAAAAGACAAAACGCAAATTCCCTGGAGAACATCACGTGGTCTGAATTGCGAAAACAAAACATACAAGCTAAAAAGGTCTATTGTGCAGCTGCCAGATTATTGAACCGTTAACCGAGAAAACCTAGGGACGAGTTTGAGTTGTTTTGGTAGTGATACAAAATGGCGGAACATTTCAGGAGGAAGAAATAGGCGAACCATATTGGTTAAATCACAGCAAGAACAGTAAACAGACAACTCGACGGACGACATCTTCTATATCAGTGCAAAATATTTGCAGAACTGAACCACCCTATAAATCCTAAACTTGCCGATAAACATGCACTACCGAATATTAACTAAACATCGATGGACGTAAGCATGTGAATGAGCTTGTTTTTAAACTAGGAATTATTTTGAATGAATAATAAAACTACTATTCAAGTATACTTAACCTAAAAACACTGAAGGAAAAGATCACCTGAACAACAGCAGTTAAATGTTAAAAATCGACGTTGTTATGGTCTAAACAATATAGGTTAAAGTGGCACATAGTCGGTTTTTGGCTTGATTGATTCTGGCACTCGCGATGGTAATATGGCTGATTTAGCCAAGTAAGGCGAGCAGGGCGTAAGGAGCTAGCCTAGCTCCTTACGCCCTGAAGGCGAGTATTATACCTTAATACGCCGTGACTGAGACTAGATTGCCGCCAACAATGTTTTTGGCATATTCAGTGACTTAAGAATAGAACTCAGATAATGAGTGTGCAGAAGAGCTTGTAATATTCTAAAAGTTCTGATGATTCAAACCTATATAATTTTAAAGATAAAGGATCATTAGTAAATAATCGAAAATAACTAGAAAATTGCATTCCTTGGAACGAACCCTTTTAATTTTGTCCGGAGCAAACAGTTCAAGTTTTTACAAAATTCGCGATGTTGCACTGGCTTTCCACTTCGGCATTCGGTTTAAAATAAATTGTGTCAAAATATTTTTATCAAGGAGAACTTCTTCAGTTTCATACCTTTGCTCTGATACTTATTGAAAGAAGTCAAAAATCAATAAGAGAATCTTACAAAGACTGACTCATAAAGCAATAACAATTTAAGGCTACCTTCGTGGATTCGAAGAACTTTGGTCGGCCCAGCAAATTGCTAGATACGTCTCATCTCAGACAACGCTGCCTTCGACGTACGTGCTGAGTTCAGAATTTTCAGTAACATGCAAATCCGGCATTTCTAAGAAATGCTTTCAATGACGGAAATGAACGGAGTTCTAAGTGGCTTCGAATATCAGCTAAGATAGCGGAGATCACTGCATTCGAAACTAAGTTCTTCATACTTTCGATATATCAAAATTCATCAATAATTACTAAAAAGCTTTTTGTTAATATAATATTTTACTATAATTAACCATAGCGTTTTTTTCCGCGAAGTCTTTTGATGACTTAAACGTTTTCAGTTTCCGGTCCAATTCATAAAATGTAGCGGGCAATCTTCCAAATCTTTTTTCGGTGATTCGAATTTCCCTATTCGAGATCAGCATTAAAAAATAATGACAGACGGGCCGGTCTGTGCGAAAAAAAAAATCTTAATTTTTCCTTTAACCTTTAGAACCGCGAGTTATTGAAATATGCAAGTTGCCTTAAAGAAAGTGAAAGTTCATTTCGTAAGATAAAGGGTGACCAACAATGGAAAAATTCATTTCCTGTGCATATGACAATACTCTATGAAAGCGTCTCTCTCTCTCTCTCTCTCTCTCTCTCTTACTTATTACCTAAAGCTACGAAATCAATGGCCAATTGCTTCGCTTAATTGATAGTTTGGCTGATAATTAAAAAGATCGTTCATTCAGCAGAGTAGCAGAGGTTTAGCAATGTGGAGCACCGGGGGGTTACTTGGGCTAATTTTTGGTGGGCCTGTGCCGCTTGCCTCTCAGAACCTCTACCCCATTATAGTCTATTCTGTGGCCATATTATAGACCCCATCTTAGTCACTTTGGGGGAAAACGTAACTTTCGCAATCCCAACTTAGTCATTTTAACATCTACCCTGTTAAGCCTTTTAACTAGGTCATCCTGAAATGAACTGGCACATTTGTTAAACATACTGTGGTGTAAATCTTTCTTTTTTAATATCCCTACATACCTGAATTTTTTTCCCCCAAATGCTGAAGATGTGGGACCCCATTCTCTAGTAGTAAGTCTTAAAAGATGCAGCCTCATAATAGTCAATCCAGTCGTGAAAATGCGACTCCATCCAGCGGCACATACACATTAGCCCACTACTAGAAAGTACCCCCCCCCCCCCCCCCGGGTGTGGAGATCGAACGTTGGTTTGTCTATTACGACTGAGTATATAATTAAGAAATTAATAAATATTTGCTCTCAAAATAAAGTTTTCAACCTGGCCTATATACCGTGGGTAGATAGGAAAAACAATTACACTGCCGTGATTCGAAGACGTGGGTCCTCTTTTATTCTCCTAACAACAAAAAGAGAATTTTGTCTTTCATGAAAATCACTGCGGTTTGTGGTTTACCAAGTTGACTCGTTTACGCGTTTGCGTTTTTGACCAAAAGAGACCATTCTCTCATTTCATTGATTCGGACCGGCAAAATCATAGTATTCAGAGGGTACGTTGGCTCAGTACATACTGACTCGTATATATACGTCATTATATTACTGATTTTGTTTTTCGGTTTAATGTAGAAATGATCTACGCTGTATGGGAAAGGGTTTTGGTTTGTTCGGAATAGGCCATCACAGTCTATCTTCAGTCTGTCTGTAAGCTTTCCGGTGTCTCGGACAAAGCCGTGTTTTGTTCATCCGGAATTATAAAACCCGAGAATACACCATAACCATACAAACGTAAACAAGAGCTACCTATCAGTTAAGAGAGCTACCTATCTACCTATCAGCAAAGATAACAGGATAAGCCCGGTTAGCTCAAATGGGATAAGCGCCGGTCTGCTGAGCGGGAGGCCGTAGCTTCAGACCCATCTGCAAAAGGTTAGACTTTCTAGTCTTCTCGGATAAGGACGATACTGACCGTAGGCCCCGTCTCACAAGCCCTTGCACATGTAGTAAATCTGTGGGACGTTAAAGAGCCCACACACTCTTCATAAAGAGTAGGGCACGTAGTGCCCGTTGTAGTGGTCTATCTCACTTTCACACTCATCTATGGGGGCATGATTACTCATTCCTTCATTACTTGTAAACTGCACCTTTTAAAGCAGTCTGGCAAAGTCCCCAACCATGCAGTGTTGTAAATTATCCCTGAAAAGCCCTGAGGGGAGTGGATAATAATATATTTACAATTTAAGTAACAAATCAAGAAACACTAATTTATGCAATTTTACAAACAATGCGTTTTTATTCTTCAGTCACAAGAGTTTAATTTTAAATCTTCTTTCTTCGTACTGCTGATGTTAAATATGTCGCTGGCCTGCCGATTACGAATCCCAGTCACTGTAGGAGTTTGCATCCTTCCCAAATGTGTAAGAGGCTGTTGGCATTTGATTACCAGGATCTTTCATTGGTTCAGCCAAAGAGAAGGCAGCTGGCAAGGCACGCATCTCAGCAGCGCAAGACAGTGGGGCTAAAAAAAAAAGAAAGCAACACGGTTTCAACTCTTTTTCAACATTTGTTGAACCAAATTCTGAACGAATGTTGCCGAGGCAGTTTGGATGGGTTGCCATAAACGTGTTGGAGTGTAATGCAACTTAAAATAAAAGCGAATCAGAAACTTGCACCAACTCATCAAGGCGTCGTCAAGAACTTTGGAAAAGGTATCAACAACTGTTTAAACAGGCTTTTATTCCCGGCTCTGAAAGGACTCCGAACATAAAAGCATTTCTAAATTTTGAGAATTTAGAAAATATGTCGCGGTCCAGCGAGTTTTGGCAACAGTGATACGTGCCCAGAATTTCAAAATTATTTTACATGCCGGGGCAAATGTTTGATCTGAACAATAAGGCATAACACAGTGGAACTTTTTTTATTCAACGAGATGTATATAAACTGGCCAGGTATTATGCATTTTAGCTTAAACCAATTTCTGTGTACGTTCTTACGACAATTTTGCAGAAGGCGCGCCGGTTTCCACTGAGAACCAGAAAAAACGTGCATTTTGCTTGGCGAAGCATCTTTTAAAAAATTGAATGAAACGCTGTTCAAAAACATTGTTATCTAGGTTACTACTAATATCGGTGTTTAATTTCCTTTTTAAAACTCAAACTTTGAACTTCGAGTTACCAGGAATTTCCTGATGATTTGACTAGAGAAACTGGCTTAAGAGCGAGGCTTTCAGGATGCAAACGTTCGTTACTTTTAAAACTCATTCTTCTTATTTGAAGTTAATTTAATGAAAATTTTACGTCAAGTTATTTTCTTGTACCTTTGGTGCTCTGATGTTGAACTTTACGCTTTTCTGGGAAGGCACCTCCGACATTAGTTTGCTTGATCGCTTCCATCTGAAAGTCAAATTACGTGCTTTCGATTGAATTAAAAACATACCTGTCGTGAGCTAATACTGCAGTAACATTTAGCTTCTTTAAGCCTAGAAATAAAGGCAAAGAAAATATAAAAAATCCCTCTCTTACCGCCTTTTTGAAGATGTTCGTTTCCAAATAGAGAACGGTTTTTGAGCTTCAAGTGATTCGCCTCGAAGTTTCCCCGTCGGAATAACACACTAATTCAAAGAGAGCTTCTTTGTAACGTCGCTTTCATCTAAGGGTTGACATATGACAGAAAAACGTGTTCGGATTGGTTGAAAACATGAGATATTTTTTCCCCAAGGATCTGATTGGTTCATGGTTTGAAAAGCTCTTAACAGGCGTTAGCACGCACAATCTAGTATCATTTTCTATTTCTCATCTATTTTTTTTTTTTAATAATTGCACAAAAACATCAGTTACCGTTTTTTTGTAGCCTTTAAAAACTCTGTTTGTAGAACTTCAGTTTATGAAAACGCGGTTACTTAATAAAAGCAACTGAACTTTCCTCTGCTTCAATACGTGACAGCCTCGACGGGTTAACATCACAAGTTTATTTTCTTTTTGAAGTATCGGAACTTCTTCGTCCCAGACATGTGATCTTGACAAATATGCATGAATCACCCGTTGCAGCGGATACAACCCTACAACACGTGGTCATTTCAGAGAATCAAGCCGGAATAATCCGTTTTTAGCTTGAAATGTTTGTTTACCCACCTTCACCCCACGTCACGTTCTTAATTAAGGAAGTTTTTCCTTGTTTTTTTGTGGACTACACATACCCAGTGTGTCATATTTAGCATCAGAAAGAGGACGAATTTTGAGTCTAAAAGAGTTTTGTTAAAAATTAGATTATTGCCATTAATAGCTAACCAACAGAAAATTATATAGGCAATTCTTATCACTGAGCTGTTTCTCAGAAAATAACCTTGACACATAATTCTTCATTTATCACATTTCTTCGAAGAATCCTAGAACTTTTGACGCAGAATTATTTTTGGAAGCTGGCTTTTGATTGGCTCAGTGAACAAATGGAATGTCGTTTTCGGTCAGCGCCGTAATAAAGATGATCCGAACTTCAGTCTAAGAAACACGGCTGCTTCAATGCCATTCATTTTCGCCATGTTTGAAGTCTTTGCCATCATATTTACTTTAATAGCCATGTTTGCTTTAGTCTACAAGAAAACAAGGCAAATTATCCTGTGCTCGCTTCTCAATATTCCGATTGATGTTTTCTACAAGCGAGTAATAGCTGATAAAAGACGTCCAGGTATGTGGTTAGGGAAAGTTCATTTAATATAACAAGAGGGGGGGATGAAGATATTGAGGGGGGGCTCCGAAAATTTTTAGACACCCGAAGGGGGGGCTCTGAAAAAATTGTTGCGCTAGGAGGGGGGGCTCCGAAAATTTGTATACTTCAAAACCAACACATGACATCATCATACAGATCGGATGGTTTTCAACTCAACAATTTAATGACCTGTGCAACTCAGCTATATCACGTGTTTTACAGATATAACAAATGTAGTCTCAGTAATTATTACACTCTTGTTCATCCCAAAAATGCTTTAGAAAATTGTATCACAACTGTATCTCAAGTTTGTTATAGTATAAACCATTGAAGACAATAACGGTAAATATATTTAATACAGTCTAGCGATCTTTTTTCAGGGGAGCAAAGGAATTGAAGGAGGGGGGGGGCTCTGAAATTTTTTCTACTACCAAGGACGGGGCTCCTAAAAAATTGAACCGCTAGCGAGGGGGCTGCTAAAATTTCAAGCTTCGAGTTTC